TCAGGTAGATCCTGAGGACTAGATTTAATTCAATAAATATTTATGGCTATATATTACAAGCCAGGCCCTCTTCTTGAGCATGCATTGTAAACCAGCCCTGCTCCTCATTCCTGTGGATATAGCAATGAACAAAAGAAAGTCCCTGTTCTCATGGAGTTTCCATTCGGTCTGGTGTGATTAGATAAATTATTAGAGCTAACATTAACATAGCACTTACTATGGACCAGGCACTATTCTAAGCACTTTACCTGTAAACTCATTTAATCCTCACAACAACCTTATGAGTTAGGGGCTGTTATTATCTCCAGTGTATAGATGAGGAAACCAAGGACACAGAAGTTAAGCGTTTCATTGTCTGGGTCCCTCCAAGGTCACACAGCTGGAAAATGGCAGAGCTGAAAGACAACCCTGGTAGTCTAGGCCCAGTGTTCATTCCTTTTATTTTTTTTTTTTAGCTGCGTTTGGTCTTCATTGCTGGGCATGGGCTTTCTCTAGTTGTGGCGAGTGGGAGCTACTCTTCATTGTGGTGCGCCGGCTTCTCATTGCGGTGGCTTCTCTTGTGGAGCACGGGCTCTAGGTGTGCAGGCTTCAGTACTTGCAGGGCTCAGTAGTTGCAGTGCGCGGGCTTCAGTAGTTGTGGTGCACGGGCTCTAGAGCACAGGTTCAGTAGTTGTGGCGCATGGGCTTAGTTGCTCCACGGCATGTGGTTGCTCCATGGTATGTGAGATCTTCCCAGGCCAGGGATCGAACCTGTGTCCCCTGCACTGGCAGGTGGATTCTTAACCAGTGCACCCCCAGGGAAGTCCCTAGAGTGCATTCTTTTGTTCACTCACTCTATTACCTCCTTAATGAGGGCTAAACTGGAGGCAACCTGGGCCAAAGTTGGCAGCTGTTATTGACATCAGTGTTAGTATCAGTTGCCTGGAGTTTCCGATGACCCAACCCCTGCTGCTCAGGTCTAGCGTTGTAATGTTTAGACTAAAAATTATACGAAAAAATGCTTGTTGTTTATCTGAATTCAAATTTAACTGGGTGTCCTGTTGATTTGCTAAATCTAGTCATCCTACTCAGGGCTCAGAACAGATTGCACACAGGTGCCAAATATCTGGCTGCAAGCCGGTTTAAGTTAAACTTGGGAAGAGACATTGAGACCTAGAGAATGAGGGCAAAGGACTGCTGGGCGAGGAAGATGAGGTGGATGGGTGGGAGGGGCATGGGCGAGGGGAAAACTGGAGTGATTCTACCTTCAATCTGCCCCCTTCCTGGGGCTCCTGGCCTCTTCCTTCCCCTTTTTACAGGAAAGGATTCCATATCAAGTGCATCATCTCAATTTAAGGACCCAGTAGTGACTGTGCTTTCCTATGAATGTTTCACTTCCTGTGTCCTCTCTCCCAAGAGTATTGGGTTATGAGTGGGTTATGCTGGAAAAGGGGGGTGCCCAGAGGACACCTGGGCCCTGCCTGGGAGCTTGGGCAGGTCAGCTTGCCCATCATTGTTGAAAGGATGTTACAGTCACTCAGCAGAGAGCTATAGAGACCAATCCATAGCCTACAATGTGCTGATCCTGCTGCAGCCTCAGCTCACAGTTTTCTGTTTCTCTCTAGGCTGCAGCCACACTGACTTTCCTTCAGTTCTACTGCCCCAGGGCCTTGCTCCTTGTTCTTGAAACTGTCTGTCTTCCTCAAGCCAGTTTATCTCCACAATCACTTCCTCCAGGACATCTTCCCTTACCTGCCTGTTATATACACTCATGGCAATGGATACTTCTCCTTAGTGCTCCTCAAGGTGTACTTTTACATTTGTTTTTGTGATTACCTGATTAACATCTAGCTCTCCAATTAGACAGGAAGCTGTGAGAGGGCAGTAATCGGGTCTTCTAGGCTCTTGTCTTCCTGGCACCGGACACACTACCTGGCACATAGATGCTCAAAGAGGCTAAGTGATATGTACAACATCATCTAGCTACAATACAGTAAATCTAGGACTCATGCTCTGAAATGCTACACTCTGAGTCGTGGATAAATGATAGCTATTATTATTATTCATAATGGGGTGAGAACAGGCTGTTCGGGGCAGTCACTTGCGGTGTTTGTTAAGTGCGAAAGGGCTCTGCTGGACACAGTGAGGTTCTTATTCTGTACCTTGTGGAAGAGGTTATTCTGGCACGAAGCAGGGGGCTGAGCTGACAGGCTGGGCGCTGGGTTTTAGGTCCTTCTACCGCAACCTGGGCATGTGCTTGCTATAATGTTCAAGAGCACAGGTTCTGGATGGGCCCTGCCCCACAGGAAGAGAGTCTGTCATTATTCTTTCTTGGCCATTCAGTAGAGGAGGGTCTTCGCACATGTGTCTCCTGGCAGCAGGCGGAACAGCATAAGGGGAACAATCATAATGGTAGTTCCCTTTAACAAGTGATTACAAAATGCCAGAACTTGGCTCAGCGTTTAAATAGTAACCATCATCAACTATGACAGCTGATTGAGGGAGAGCTCTGTGACCTGCCCGGCACTGTGAGTGTTTTAGACGCAAGAGCTCATCCAGTCGCCCCAACAACACCATGAGACAGAAATTATTGTCCCCATTTTCCAGATGAGAAAACTGAGGCTCAGGAGTGATGCGATTGCCCACGGTCCAACAGCTAGTAAGTATTACAGCTAGGCTGGGAACCCAATTCTCTCAGACTCAAAATCCAGTGCTCTTATTCACTTCACTACACTGTCAGCCCAGAAGGGGCTTCACGGGTACTCAGTATGCAGAGGTGGGTAGTGGTGAACAAGTAAGGGGGTGGATTCTCTTGTCTGCCCCATCCAGGTCTGAGGGATGGAGGTGCTTGAAACCCTCCTGTAGCTCCCCCTTAACACTTAAAACAAAATCCAAGGACTTTGCTGGGCCTGCAAAGTCCCGCAGGACCTGGCTCCCTACTCCCCCTGCCCCTCCTCTCCTACCACTCACTCACTGCCCCCCTGCCACTAGTCTTGCTGCCTGCCCACTGACATGCCACACACACTCCCACCTCAGGCTTTGCTCCTGCTGTGCCCTCCACCTGGAACATTTCTTTCTTTAGCTCTCAGAGTTTGCTCCCTCACTTCATTCGCACCTCTGCTCAAATGTCACCTCTTCGGAGAGGACTGACCCTACCTAAGCTAGCTCCCCATCGACGGTATCATCTTATGTTATCTTTTTTTCATGGCATGCCTCTCTACCAGGGATCATATTGTATATTTATCTGTTTGTTTATTGTTTGTTTCTCTCACTAGAACAAAGCTCCATGAGGTAGGACTTTATTTTGTTTACTGCTATCTCACTGGCTACAGCTGACATGTGGCAAGCCTTCAAAATATGCTTGTGTGGGGACTTCCCTGGTGGTCCAGTGGTAAAAAATCCGCCTTCCAGTGCAGGGAACGCAGGTTCGATCCCTGATCGGGGAATTAAGATCCCACATGCCACGGGGCAACTACGCCCACGTGCTGCAACCACTGAGCCCATGGCGCAACAACTGGAGAGCCCACGTGCCACAACTGCGAAGGCTGCGTGCTCTGGAGCCTGCATGCCACAACTAGAGAGACCGCCCACTGCAACTACTGAGCCCGCGTGCTCTGGAGCCTGCTCGCTCACCAAAACTAGAGAGAATCCTGTGCGCCGGAATGAAAGATCCCACATGCTGCAACTAAGACCTGACTCAGCCAGAAAAAAATAAATGATAAATAAATAAATACTAGAAAAAAAAAGTTCCCTACTCAAAAAAAAAAAAAATGAGGCCAAGGGAATTCCTTAGTGGTCCAGTGGTTAGGACTCCGTGCTTCCACTGCAGGGGGTATGGGTTCGATCCCTGGTCAGGGACTAAGATCCTGCAAGCTGCGTGGCATGGCCCAAAAATAAAAATAAAAAAAGAATGAGGCCAAGAGCTAGGACAGCTACCTAAGGCTGTTGGTCAAGCTGTACAGGTTTCTGGCCTGACCAACCAACTCCTTCAGTCAAGTTGTGCTGAAGAGGTTGTTCGTGAGTTGCACCAACTGGTGGCCTCTATCCCTTTCCCAGATGATCCGGAAGGTGAAGCTTCCTGGAGGGGAAGGCAAAACAGGTGTGGTTATAGGGACTAAAACTGATCATGTGCATGCCCAGTAGGTGCCCGAACTGAAGGTGTGTGCACTGCCTCCGGAGCCACATCCCCAAGGCCTGGGGCAAGATCCTCACCTTTGACCAACTGGCCCTGGACACTCCCAAGGGCTGTGGCGCTGGCCTACTCTCTGGTAAAGACCAAGAGGTATACAGGCATCTCGGCAAGACCTCAGGAACACCAAACCCTACGTTCCAAGGGCTGGAAGTTCAAGCGCACCAGAGGCTGACAGGCCAGTTGCCACTACAAAAACCAGCCCCAGATCCTGCCTTGTTATTAAAAAGATTTTGGATGCTGAAAAAAAAAAAAAGAAGAATGAGGCCAAAGATAGGGTAGTCAGAGAAGAAGAGGAAAAATGGGAGCATGCAGATGGGACAGTCCCAGGGCTACTGGAGAACTAGCTAGCGGGCTCCTCCACTGACCTGGAGACGGGGACCGGGTGGGGGCAACAGAAGCTTGTTGCCGCTGGTTACAGAGAATGGGAGCTGGAAGTAGAGGTGGATATAGTAGCAGCAAGAGATGGGAATGGAATTGGAGGTAGAGGGGCAGAAGAGGAAGCAGTTGGTCATCAACAGATCCTTATGGACAGCTATGTGCCAGGCACTGTTCTGGGCACTGCGGACACAGCAAAGGAATACACAGAGAGGGTCTCTGCCCTCTAGAATAAGGGTGGGTAAACTATGAACGGCCTGTGGGCCAAATCTGGCCTCTTTTTATGTGCCTATGAGCTAAGAGTGGCTTTTACATCTTTAAATAATTGAAGAATATTTCATAATGTGCAAAAATTATATGAAATTCAGATTTCAGTATCCATAAATAAAGTTTTATTGGAGCACAGCCACGCTCCGTTTACGTATGGTCTAGGGCTGCTTTCACACTACAACAGCAGAGTCGAGTAGTTACAACAGAGACCATATGGCTGAGAAAGCCTAAAATGTTTACTAGCTGGCTCTTCAGAAAAAAAATTTGTTAACCCCTGCTCTAGGAACTTACATTCTCTTTGGCTAAACAAGCAGGTAAACTAATTTCAGAGTGCTTCTGAGGACAAGAGCCAGCTGGCATCAGTAGTTTCTCACACCCTGCTTCTGCCTCAGCCACCTTCCCCTGGAAGGGAAGTGCTCCATCCAGCTGGGTTGTAATACAGCAGCAGAGGAACTGGGGTCGTTGTGATCAGCCCCCTGCTTCTGGGCCAAGAGGATCAAGACTTTTCCTGGAAGAAAAAAGTCACTGTCAGTGATTTGCAAAGTCCAGCACCCGCTGGTTCCCCTTCCCCTAACCCAGATCCTCAATCTAGGAACAACTTATTTATGACTTCAGAGGAACATCATCACCTTTGTCATCAAGGCCTGCCACCTGTGTTCCTGCCACTTGTATGCAGTGCCTCCTTCTTTACAAAAAGTCTTCTCCCACACTACCTCATGGAGCCCTTATGGGGTAAGAAGGCATGGCTTGGGGTTATTGTTCCCATTTCACAGATGAGGAAACTGAGACTTGGAGAAATAACCTGACTTACCCAGGGTCACATCGCTTGAAATAGCTTGCAAACCCACAATTAGAAAGTAGTGCAATGTCATCTTTGGAAGGGCCTTTGGGACTGTCTCATCCAGAGATGGGAAACTGATGGCCTGGGGCAGAGGTGAATCAGTTAAGGGTGGTGGCCAGTCCTCCATGTGCAAGAAATAAGGCATGCATTGTCTGTAGAGAAGTTTAAAACATTAATGAAACTGGGTGGGTCTGCTTTTTATCACTGTGCCCTGGCAATTCTAAACAATGTCGTTGGTGATAAAATCCTCCCTCCTGAAGAGATCTTTCTTGGTCTAAGTTCTAAATAATTGCCGCGATTACTATGAGATATATATATTCTTCAAATTAGTACATTTTATCACCTAACCTTTAATAAATAACATATTCTACATGGAAGCTAATTTGAAGAACTCCCAGTTACACAACTGGCGCCAACATATACCTTCAGTTTGAGGGCTCATAGCAGGTCAGCATCACTGGAGCTCATATCAGGAGCGTTCATGTCCGCATGTCCCTGCATTTAAACAGCAGATTTGAAATCAACGGCGATAGCACAGTGATTGTAAAACTGTTACTGTAGTTCTGTCATTCTCTGTGCAAGTCATTCTCTGAACCTGCCAATTTGCCTCTTTTAGAGGCATTTCTTCATGTGTGTGTGTATGTACCTTTTTGTTAAAAAAATACATTAATATAACCATAAACTATTAGTCCTTTACTTTTTTCCCATTTGTACTATAATTTTTATTTTATTTTAAAAATTTTATTGGTCTGAGTATATATATGAAGTTCAATAAAAGCAAGTTTTTACTGTCTCTGTTGCTTTTCTGCCATTATTATTATTTGTTTTATTTCATGATTATTATTGAAGATAATTCTTGTCATGTTGGGATTAAAAAATGATCTTTTCTACACACACTACTATATATAAGATAGGTAACTAAAAAGAACCTACTGTATAGCAGTAGGGAACTCTACTCAATATTCTGTGATAACCTATATGAGAAAAGAATCTTAAAAAGAATTAATATATGTATATGTATAACTGAATCACTTTGCTGTACACCTGAAACTAACACAACATTGTAAATCAACTATACTCCAATAAAAATAAAAATTTAAAAACATTTTTTTTACATTACCAGAAAATCTAAGAAGAAATTCAAGAAAAATAAAATTTGATAACTTGGAAAAAAAAAACACATTTTGGGTGTCAAACACACTAGGTTCACCATTGGCTTAAAGACAGAATAGGGGGGCTTCCCTAGTGGCGCAGTGGTTGAGAGTCCTCCTGCCGATGCAGGGGACACGGGTTCGTGCCCCGGTCCGGGAAGAAGATCCCACATGCCGCGGAGCGGCTGGGCCCGTGAGCCATGGCCGCTGAGCCTGTGCGTCCGGAGCCTGTGCTCCGCAACGGGAGAGGCCATAACAGTGAGAGGCCCGCGTACCGCAAAAAAAAAAAAAAAAAAAAGACAGAATAGGACCCACAATGACATCATTATCTTCTCAATCATAATCATCATTATTTTTTATTGAGCACCTACTTGGCGCCAGGCACTGTTCTAAGGTTGGACATGTATCATCCCAACTTTTTCCCCATTCAACAAATACTTATTAAGATCCTACCATGTGTGAGGCACCATTGTAGGTGCTGGTGATACGGCAGTGAACAAAGTCAAATGCTTTCTCTCTCTTACCCATGAACCACTGGGCCTGGAGGTAGGATGGGTGTTCTCCTTGTGTACCATCCTATTTTAAGAATAAAGCCAGGACCCCACAGACCCAGGATTAGGGTGAGGTGAGTTAAGGCCAAGTCACACAAGTGCAAGGTCATATCCTGTCTTCACTTAAAATGTTGCTATTTTGGTCATCATGGATTTTTTTTTTTGCATTACTTTTCACTTTTGAAAATGTATCTTGATTGTTGAGTTTTTTTGGCACCCCCTTAAATTTTGCACCCAGGATGATTCCTCATTAACCTTATTCTGTTAACCTCACCCTAGTCCTGTCCTTGCTTATGTGATCCTCACAACAATCACGTGAGGTAGGTGCAATAATTACCCCCATTTTACAGATAAGAAAAGTGAGGCACAGAGAAGCTAAATGACTTGCTCAAGGACATACAGTTAATTAAGTGGTAAAGCTGGTGTGTGAACTTCCCTTACTTTAGAATCCATGTTCTTAACCCTACTTTACATTTTGTTTAGTCCATACAGGCTGCTGAATATCTCAAGTAACTTGCCATCACTTTAATTTAAAATTAAAAATACAGCACAGTGCATTCCACAGCCCCTCAGGACCGGGGTCGGGTTGGAAGACCCCTTGGTCCTGGGACACGGGGCGCGGCCAGAAAGGCAGCAGCCCCCTCACCTGTCACACAGCACACGTTGGTGGGGAACCTGGTGCTAAACCATTCATAGATGACCTGCTTCTGGGTCAGGGTTTCCTACATAACAGAGCAGCTCCCTCGCTGGGATCTGTTGAAAGTCAGCCCTGGACAGACGTTTTGTAAAAAGAAGGTATTAAAAAAAAAAAAGGAAGAAGAAAATTTAAAATACAGCTTTCCAGCCTCTTTAAAAGTCAGGCAAGGGACTTCCCTGGTTGCGCAGTGGTTAAGAATCTGCCTGCCAATGCAGGGGACACAGGTTTGATCTCTGGTCCGGGAAGATCCCACATGCCACGGAGCAACCAAGCCCGTGCGCCACAGCTACTGAGCTCGCATGCCGCAACTACTGAAGCCCGCACGCCTAGAGCCCATGTTCCGCAACAAGAGAAGTCACCACAATGAGAAGCCCACGCACCGCAATGAAGAGTAGCCCCCGCTCACCGCAACTAGAGAAAGCCCACATGCAGCAAGGAAGACCCAACGCAGCCAAAAATAAATAAATAACTTTTTTTTTTTTTTTAAAAAGGCCACCTGTGCTCACATTCCAGTTTTGTGGCCATCAGCAGAATGGAGTGGCAGCCTCTCTCAGATAAAGCAAGCTCATCAGGTCACCACAGTCTCCACCACCCACTACTATCTCACTGACTCCCCCACTTCATTCACTTGCTACCTGTCTGCTCCTGGGGGCATTTAGATTTGGACCCCTAATCTGGTCATCTCACAGATGGAAGAATCCAAACCCCAGAGAGGAAGAGGTTACCCAATTCACACAGCACTTGGAGCCTGGGCTCCAAGCCAGCCCTCACACAGCCCTTCAGTGATAAGAGACACTTGTAACTTTACACTTGATGGGAGCTCAGAAAGGGAGTTCCCAGACAGATCAAGCTAACCCCTATTTGCTGAGCACTGCCCAATTTTTGCCTCCAAGGTGGGCATCTCCACATCAACATCTCAAGTGGCCCTCCCAACGACTCTGGCAGGTCAGCCTTGACAACCTCTATCTTACACGTGAGAAACTGTTGCTTGGGAGGTTAAGTGACTCTCCCAGGATCTCACTGCAAGCTTGTGGTAGGTCTAACTTCAGTTCACTAGCTCTTGACATAAGACCTCCTGCTCTCTCCCCAAAACACCCTCTCTGACTCTTACTAGGATTTTCTTGGACTGAGGCTGGAGTCTCTGCTGGCTAAATTTACTCTCTTCCAGAAGGATTCTAACACAGGGCAGCCCGAGAGCCAAGCTGGAGTTGTCAGAAATACCGACTATAGGCCAAGCATATGCTAGATGCTTTTCACAAAGCTTCTATATTCTTTGTGTTTATCTGCATCCTCTAAATTTTCCACAGTGACTGTATTTTACTTCCTGTACAAGGAATTGCTTGATCTAGGCCTGGAAATGATTCTACTGAAAGTTTGGGGAAGTTGAGGATATTGGCCCCCAACTTGCAGTTAAGGAAACTGAGGCTCAGATGGATGGCCCAAGGTTACACAGGTAAGAAGTGATGGAATCAGGATTCTGTCTGAGTCCAAGGCCTGTGCTCTTTCCATTCCACTACTCTGCTTGCCCTTTTTTTTTTTTTAACACCTTGTTCCACAAAGGAGTTCAGGCAACTTATAAAAATACATTAAAGGAATCAAGCATTTATCCTGTCTTTCTTTGTACAAACTATTTCAGGAAAATCAAATAATGAATGAGGAAAAGTTATTCTTTTATTTTTACATTTAAGTTTTTTTTTTTTTTTTTTTTTTTGCGGTACACGGGCCTCTCACTGTTGTGGCCTCTCCCACCGTGGAGCACAGGCTCCAGATTCGCAGGCCCAGCGGCCATGGCTCACGGGCCCAGCCGCTCCATGGCACGTGGGATCTTCCCAGACCGGGGCACGAACCCGTGTCCCCTGCATCGGCAGGCGGACTCTCAACCACTGCGCCACCAGGGAAGCACTCATTTAAGTTTTATTTTTAAATTATTTTTGTAATTTAATTTTATTTTTAAAAATAATTTTTATTGAAAAGTTGTTCTTTATGGAAGAATTCCAGCTAATGAATGCAAAAAGAATGACAGAGGGACTTCCCTGGTGGTCCAATGGTTATGACTCCGTGCTTCCATTGCAGGGGGCTCGGGTTCTATCCCTGGTCAGGGAACTAAGATCCCACATGCTGCTGGGCATGGCCAAAAAAAAAAAAGAATGACAGAATTAGAAAGTCATGGGGAATTCCCTGGCAGTCCAGGACTTGGCGCTTTCACTGCCAGGGCCCGGTCCCCATTTTGCAACACCTAATGAGATAACGGATCATCAGCAGATGCTAAAACCAACAGATAAAAGGTTGATGGGGAATTCTATAATGAAAAGAGCAGGCCAAGAGCCCTGAAACCGAGGACCAATCAGTAAAAATATTTAAACTAAGTATGTGCCGCTAGATGAGACATAATAATAAGTAGACAGCACCATCGCCAGTAAGGTATTCTTGCTAAAGACATTAAACCTGAATCTAATCAAGCTCTAGATCTAACTTTCAGTTTAATGGAAATACAACAGACAGAAGAACAAGTTAAACTACTCCATCAGGAAGCAATCAGCCAAATCTTCTGGGATGTGGAAACCTTTACAGGGCAAATGCTCTGGTTTCCTTTACAAATAAATAGCATGAAAAAAGAAGAAAAGTGAAACTGTTATAGATGAAAAGTTACTTATGACACATATCAACCAAATGAAATGTGTGAGCCTCATTTGAGTTCTTATTGGAACAAACCAACTATTAAAGAAATTTGAACATGAACTAGGTATTAAATGATTTTAGGGAATTTGTATTAATTTTGTTAGGTATGATAGTGGCATTGTAGTTATATTTGAAAAAGCCCTATCTTTTAAAGATATATGCTGAAATAATTCCAGTGAAATGATATGATATCTGGGATTTGCTTTATAATACTTCAGAGGGAGGGAAAAGTGGGGAGGTAAATGAAACAAGATTGGCAAAATGTTGGTAATTATTGAGGATGGGTTACAGGTGCATAACAGTTTATTACATTCTCTCTACTTTCATGTGTTTGAAATATTCCATAATAAAACATTTTTAAGGCTTAAAGTAAATAATTAAGAAAATTGGGACAAAGAGAAAATACAGATCCAGAAATAGAATAGTTCTGAGCTTCTTAGCAGCCAAAACAAAGAGGGAAACGAGTCATGATGGCCAACTGTTGAGAAATACAGTCTCATGCCTGCAGTTTTTTGACCCTTACTCAATTATGTAAGAATGGGCCCTGAGCCTGGAACACTTCCTAACCAAGAGATAAAGAGCCCACACAGCCTGTGCTGGATTTATCACCTTGTGTGGGAGTATCTTTCCTTGTTTCAGGTGTCATGAGTACTCTTTTGTCTCTGCTTAAAGCATGTCGGTCATATGGCATCTAGCCAACCCCATGGTTATTATCTGTCCTCCTCTTGGAGGGGATAGGGTCCTTCCACTATGGCACAAGGGTGAGCATAGGTGAAGTGCCCTGTGTTGATCACTGGGAGAGATCCCCCGGCAATGAGGGACCAACACCCACTACTGAAGCTGATCCTGCTGTCTCTTCTCTATGTGAGTAAAGCGTTGTTCCATCCGGTGCTTGACTGCATTGTGTCTTCCTTGACTACTCAGATACCAAGAGGAAATGGGTAGAAGTGTTTAGAGTCTTCCCCGGGGAATTATAACTGGTGCAAGGGTACTCCACTTGACACAAAGAGATTTCTAAAACCAACAAACCAGCACAGTTTCTTGTAATCAAAGAGATTCCGGTGCTGGCAAAATTCCTACTCAATATGGCCTATCAGTAGGGGGCCAGTCATCTGCCCTGATTTGGGGTATAATGAAGGACTTGCAAAGAGCTAGGGCCAACAGAAGGAGAGGAAAGAGGTGAAGAGAAGTGGACCTTGGAGGATGAGGGAAATGGAGAAGGACATGGGAAAGGCAGGGCATTCTAGGGGGAGGGTACTGAGTGAGCAAAGGCAGAGAGGCTATTTCATTTTCATAAAAGAAGAAATACAAAAAATGCATGTGAACCTGAAGAAAGCTGGTCTTTTATTTGCTCTCTCTTTGGCAAAAGAAATCGATCCAACTCCAAAAAGCACTGACAGGAAACAAAAGTCTTTACCAAAGGTCTCTGGAGGACACTGCAAAGGGATTACACAGCACAGCTCACGGCAAGACATCCTTTCAGAATCCTACTAAATCTCTCTTCCTCAAAGTTCCACACCATTACAACAGCTCCCCAAACCTCTTCCTTCTTTCTCTTTTTCCAAATTCCTGACCACCCAAACTCTGCCAGCTCCCTCACTCCCCTCCCTTCTCTCAGAAGCAGCTTTTCCTGATTGGGACTGGGCGGAAATTCCTCCAGGTCTCTCCACTCTTTTGCTTATAGGTCTATTTCTCTCCCTGTGCCCTCCTTACAAAGGCTCCTAAGCCTGGGAAGGAGGAAAAGCAGTGCATATTTACATGTGAGTATTTTTGTCCCGTGGCCTGGAAATAAAAAAAAAAAGATTGGAAGGAAAGACACCCGCATGTTAACAGGAAGATGCCAGCAAAGCTTTGGAATCAGATAAAGTTGGGTCCAGGTCCTGGCTCTGCCACTTTCTAGCTGTGTGACCTTGGGGAAGCCTCACTGGAGACATTTCTCCAAACCTCAGATTGCTGTTCCGTGAATGACTTAGCATGGTATCTGGCATATAGCAAGCGTTCCATAAAGTGTAGCTTACAAAATAAAGGAGTTAGTTACCTGTAGATAGGAGGAATATGGTGAACTTTATTTTGTCTTTATCCATATTTTTTGCCTTTATCAGTATTTAAAAATTTTACAGTAAGTACATATTTGTAAAAATAAAACAACATAAAGATCATTATAAACACAGGCGTAGGATTAAATGTTTATCAGTAGAAGATCAAATGAATTATGGGGTACCCATATTCTGGAATATTATGAACTCCTTAAAAATGGGGTATCTCTATAAATAATGACACGAAAAAATGTCCATAGTATACAGCAAGTTGCAAAACAATATGTGGTGTGACCCCCTTTATATATACATATATATAGTATGCTACAAATAAGAAAAACCGCAGCTATCTCACCAGTGAAGATGAGTGTTTTTCATTTTTCAAATCCATATTTTTGTAAGGTTTTAATTAAAAGACTCATGAATTACTTTTACATAAAAGAAAAACACTGAAAGGGGGGTAAAAAACAGGCAGGTAGGGTTTCCCGTGTGTTTCCCAGGCCCACGGCGGAACAGAGCACCAGACAAACGAAGGACCCCAAGATTCTGCGCACCTAAGTCCTATCGCTGAGCCGGTTGAGCTCCTGCCAGCCACTAGTCTGGGCAGGAAGGGTAAACAGGGCACCCCATCTTCAGCCCTCGAAGGCTCCCCCCTGCGCCCACGTCCTGTTTCGCAGACTGCAATAGAAGGGAGCCAGTAGAAATTGCTCCCTTTCTCCCCATGGGGACCCTTCTAATACCTCTGCTAAGGAGAGTAAGGTTTGCTGGAGCAGAGAAGAGGGCAGGGGCAAGAGAAGGTCCTGGGGCCTAAAGATCTTTCTAGATGTATGTGGTCTGTGGCCCCCAAGACTTCCCCGCTCCCCGAATCTTGTTGAAACTGAAGATGGGGGGGGGCTCTGGAGGGACCAAGGGGCTTGCCGGGCTCTCAGGGTGGGACCCGCCCCGCAGCGTGTGGAGGGAGGAAGCTGCTGAGCCCCCAAACTCTTGGGGGACAAGCCTGAGCAGTTCCTGGAATGTGGGGGAAATGGGTACCCTATCAGCGCTCTCTATAAAAACCATCGCCTACAGAAGATCAAGCCCCAAGATTGAGTCCCAGGATTTCCTGACTAGTTCCAAGAACCCAACCTAGAAAGTGGGCGGGGTTCCTGCCTCCTCTTCCCCTCCCCACTCGGGCCCTTCTCGTTTTTTGGGTCCCCAGTCCAGGCCCAACCCCACGGCCAGCCCATTCAGCTCCCAAGTCTAGTCGGCCCTGCGCTCCCTCAAACCACCGCCAGTGCCCGCCCCGCCCCCAGCTCTGCGTCTCCCCCCGCCCCATTTCCGCTTAGTTTGCACTCCCGGCACCCCGCGCGCGCCTCGGGTACCTCCTCGGCCCGCGGCAACTCAAGCGCCGAGGCCCCGCCCCTCTGATGCCCCGCCCCAAAGCCCCGCCCTGGCACGTGCCCGCGCTTAGCTTGTTTACCTCTCAGTGCCTGTGAGGGGACCCCTCTACAGGTCAATCCCTGACTATATTATCAGCCCTTGGGACCTGCATTCGAAGTGTTGGGAAGGGGGTTCGCGGCGTTTAGAGAAGTTTGGAGAAGATGCAGGCCCGGAAGCGGAAGCAGAGAATGGAGAGGGCCGGAGGTCGGGGCAGTGAGGACCACAAAGCTCGAGCGCACGCCCACCTCCTTCCCTCCGGGCCGGCGCACTTGGGAGTGGGACGAGACTCTCGGTCTGGGCCCGGCGGGCTCGAGCCTGAATCTGAGCAAGGGCTGGCCCGGTACCCGCCAGGTGTGCTGCGCGGGACTGGCGGCGGGGCGGGGTGGCCCCCGGAACGATTGTCGGGGATGGAGGGCGAGTCAAGTGAGCTGGGAATGCCCGGCCTAGTATCGGGAATCGAGGGTCCAGTTGGAGGTATTGAGGTGAGGTGAGATTAGGTCCAACGGCTCTCTCGCCTGGATACCGTGACCTGTCCTGGCAACGGTGGGGAGCAGGAGGCCCAACCTTTGGGGCTGTGCCTCATTAGCGCTTCCCAGGTGGGGCGCGGAGCTTGACTCTACGCCGCCACCGTGTGGCCGCAGGGAGCAGCGCCTGCCTGGACCCGGAGACTCCTCAGCGCTGGGGCGGGGGACCAGGCCCTGGAGACCTTGGGAGAGGCGCCCTTGGGGAGACTGACTTTCGATACCCTGCTCCTCCCGAGCTGGGTACCAGGAATGGGGCTGAAGTTGCCATGGCGGCGGCGGAGCAGTCGCCGGGGCTTCCTCCAGCCGCTCTGAATCCTCCTCAGGACAGCGTGGGACTGTGGTGTGGACACCCATTATCCGCCAGCATGTTGTTGCTGCTCACTGAATAAGGAGGTGTGGAGATGTGGATGAAAATAATCCCTCCCAAAGGCAGCAAGGCCTCCAGCAACCAACCAGCTTTTCCTAAGCATCTACTATGTGAAAGGCGTACAAAGATGAATAATTAAAATAAGTAGGGAAAGCCCTCTCATATTTGTGGCTCCCCACTCTCATGAAAATAACAGGTAACTTTTAGGAAGGCTTACTGTATGCCAGGCATTTACTGAGTACTTTTATATGCGTGATAACATTAAATTCTCACCACAGTCCTCTAAGGGTAGGCACTATTATTCCTATCCAACAGATGAGGAAGTTTAGGTTCAGAGAAGTTAAGTAACTTGCCTAAAGTCATACAGCTAGATCGAATTTCTAAGCCTTGGCTTGACTTTTTTTTTTTTTTTTTGGCCAAGCTGTGGGGCTTGCAGTATCTCAGTTCCCCAACCAGGGATTGAACCCGGCCCCTGCAGTGAAAGCCCAGAATCCTAACCACTAGGCCACCGGGGAACCCCCTTGGCTTTTTTTTTTAATAGACTTAATTTTTTAGAGCATTTTTAAGTTCACAGCAAAATCGAGCAAAGATGCAGTGTTTCCATATGCCTCCTGTGCCAACACACAACTTCCTCTATCAACATCTAACACCAGAGTGGTGCATTTGTTACAATTAGTGAACCTACATTGATACATCATTATCACCCAAAGTCCAAAATTTACGTTTGATAAGCCTTAGTTTTTAACCACCATGTCAATCTCCTACCCTAATTATAAGGCCACTTTGCTGAGCGGGGATTCAACTGGGACTTTGAAGGGTATGTAGAATTTTCCAAAGCAGGGGGTAAGAAGGACATTTCAGGCAGGAGAGTTGTTTAGAGAAAGATGTAGAGGGATTTTCAGGATACTTGGCAAGTTTGACTTGAGCAAGAGGCCCCAAGCTTTAGTTAGTCAATTGAGTATCGACCTCATGAAGTTTGTCCTAAGCAATAACAGCCATGAAATCGTGAGTTTAGAATGCAAGTTATATTTTTGAATCCCCATTGAAATATGTTAATCTTTGAAAAATATTTGGTTATATGCCACTAAAATATATCCCTAGAGCCACCAGTGATAGTCATGCCTCATTCTGGAAAACACTACCATAGGGAATTACTGGAGGTACCCTGGGGAGTTAGGATGAGGCTACTGTTTGTCGAGCAAGGGTCATCTGTGTCCCAAGTAAGCTGCTCGCTGCTGTTCATAATTCTCTGAGCCCCAGACCTACCAGCATATTTGATCTTATCTTTCCTGGCTAGCAACATTTTGGTGGCTCCTTATTCTCTTCTAGATAGAAGAGTAAATGCCTTAACATAACCTACAAGATCCTTGGGGATCCTGGGGTAGGCCCACCATGGCCCCATCAGGCTGGTGAAGAGAGGGAGATAGGAGACAGGATCTCCTGGAGGAAGTGACATCTGAGCTGAAGTCTAACGGATTTATGGGAGAGAACTAGGTGATGGTGGTGAAGAGCTTTTTCAGGTAGAAGGAACAGCAAGTGCAAATTTCCCGAGGCAGGAAGGAACAATGTGCATGTGAGCACCTGAGAGAGGCACTAGAGGAAGAGCCAGGGGAGAAGAGTTTGCAGGAGCCAGACCCTGCCTGCAGTATCTGGAGGCATCACAAGCATTGTGATCTTAATGCTGTGCCTTACGGGGAGCCTTTAGGGCCTCAAGAACGGTGACTTCAGTTACTTGAATAACAAATACTTTTTGAACACCTACTTCAGGTGGAGCACTGGGAATTTTAATAGACTCTCATGGTCCCTGCCATCAGGAAACTTACATTCTTTTACAAACAAAAGTTATACATATGCATGGTTTAAAGAAATAACAAGTATTATAAGGTTTTCTATGAAAACAGAAGGCAGTCCACTGCCTTTTCCCTCATTTCCACTTTTGCAGAGGCATCTATTTTCAACTTTTTTAGCTGACTGTATTTTAGATTTATCTCCATTATCTCTAAGTAATCTTGTTTTTTTGTTGTTGTTGTTGTTATTTTTTTGTTTTTTGGCGGTACGCAGGCCTCTCACTACTGTGGCCTCTCCCGCTGCCAGCGGCCATGGCCCACGGGCCCAGCCGCTCCGCGGCACGTGGGATCTTCCTGGACCGGGGCACGAACCCGTGTCCCCTGCATCGGCAGGCGGACCCTCAACCACTGCGCCACCAGGGAAGCCCTGTTTTTTGAATTTTTGAATTTTATTTAATTTATTTTTTTATACAGCAGGCATGTATGTCAATCCCAATCTCCCAGTTCATCCCACCACGACTACCCCACCCCCCTGCCACTTTCCCCCCTTGGCGTCCATACGTTTGTCCTCTACATCTGTGTCTCTAGTTCTGCCCTGCAAACCGGTTCATCTGTACCATTTTTCTAGGTTCCACATATATGCATTAATATACGATATTTGTTTTTCTCTTTCTGACTTACTTCACTCTGTGTGACAGTCTCTAGATCCATCCATGTCTCTACAAATGACCCAATTTCGTTCCTTTTTATGGCTAAGTTAATATTCCATTCTATATATGTACCACATCTTATTTATCCATTCGTCTGTCGATGGGCATTTAGGTTGCTTCCATGACCTGGCTATTGTAAGTAGTGCTGCAGTGAACATTGGGGTGCATGTGTCTTTTTGAATTATGGTTTTCTCTGGGTATACGCCCAGTAGTGAGATTGCTGGGTCATATGGTAATTCTATTTTTAGTTTTTTAAGGAACCTCCGTACTGTTCTGCATAGTGGCTGTATCAATTTACATTCCCACCTACAGTGCAAGAGGGTTCCCTTTTCTCCACACCCTCTCCAGCATTTGTTGTTCGTAGATTATCTGATGATGCCCATTCTAAATGGTGTGAGGTGATACTCATTGTAGTTTTGATTTGCATTTCTCTAATAATTAGTGATGTTGAGCAGCTTTTCATGTGCTTCTTGGCCATTTGTATGTCTTCTTTGGAGAAATGTCTGTTTAGGTCTTCTGCCCATTTTTTGATTGGTTTTTTTCTTTTTTAATATTGAGCTGCATGAGCTGCTTATATATTTTGGAGATCAATCCTTTGTCCATTGATTCGCTTGCAAATATTTTCTCCCATTCTGAGGGTTGTCTTTTCATCTTGTTTGTAGTTTGCTTTACAAAAGCTTTTAAGTTGCATTAGGTCCCATTTGTTTATTTTTGTTTTTATTTCCATTACTCTAGGAGGTGGATCAAAAAAGATCTTGCTGTGATTTATGTCAAAGTGTGTTCCTCCTGTTTTCCTCTAAGAGTTTTCTAGTATCCAGTCTTACATTTAGGTCTCTAATCCATTTTGAGTTTATTTTTGTATATGGTGTTAGGGAGTGTTCTAATTTCATTCTTTTTACATGTAGCTGTCCAGTTTTCCCAGCACCACTTATTGAAGAGACTGTCTTTTCTCCATTGTATATCCTTGCCTCCTTTGTCATAGATTAGTTGACCATAGGAGCGTGGCTTTATCTCTGGACTTTCTATCCTGTTCCATTGATCTATATTTCTGGTTTTGTGCCAGTACCATATTGTCTTGATTACTGTAGCTTTGTAGTATAGTCTGGAGTCAGGGAGTCTGATTCCTCAGGCTCCTTTTTTTCCCCTCAAGACGACTTTGGCTATTCGGGGTCTTTTTTGTCTCCATACAAATTTTAAGATTTTTTGTTCTAGTTCTGTAAAAAATGGCACTGGTAACTTGATAGGGATTGCATTGAATCTGTAGATTGCTTTGGGTAGTGTAGTCATTTTCACAATATTGATTCTTCCAATCCAAGAACATGGTATATCTCTCCATCTGTTTGTGTCATATTTGATTTCTTTCATCAGTGTCTTATACTTTTCTGAGTACAGGTCTTTTACCTCCTTAGGTAGGTTTATTCCTAGGTATTTTATTCTTTTTGTTGCAATGGTGAATGGGATTATTTCCTTAATTTCTCTTTCTGATCTTTCGTTGTTAGTGTATAGGAATGCGATAGATTTCTGTGCATTAATTTTGTATCCTGCAACTTTACCAAATTCATTGAGCTCTAGTAATTTTTTGGTGGTATCTTTAGGATTCTCTATGTATAGTATCATGTCATCTGCAAACAGTGACAGTTTTCCTTCTTCTTTTCCAATTTGTATTCCTTTCATTTTTTTTTCTTCTCTGATTGCTGTGGCTACGACTTCCAAAACTATGTTGAATAATAGCGGTG